GAGTTTCACGTGATTATGGTGTCGATATCTCCGAGTCACAAACGTAAGACAGCATTATTCAGACGTTATCAAACATATTTTGTATGTAGAAAATTCCCTAAGCAACTTTTCCTGCTGGAAGAAATCTGTATCTTTTGATAACCTTACATGGGATGGAAAGCAGCCTTTTTTTTCCCGGATACATTATTACTGAGGCAAAAGCAGACCGACGTACAGGGGAAAAGGCGGCTACCTGAAAAAACAAAATTCGCCGTGATAGAAAATTTCAGAAGCAGCGTGAAGAAACGTGCACGATCCGAGACGCCACGCAGAACAATCAATATTGAGGTATGTAATCCAGAAAATCCATGCCAGCCAAGACTTCTGAACTAAATCCTTGGTCACTTGTGACTTTTGTGGTACTGTTTTACAGGGATCGCCTCCACCAAGCGCACTGCCAATTTGCTCATTCTGCTCAGAGGCAATCGAGGGCCCGATCATTACGGCGCTGGCGCCGAACTCATTTCAAGCCCAGAAGTTTCATCCATATCACTTCATGTGCACTTACTGCCAGAAAGTTAGTCACTGCTTCGGTGTTTTCCATCATCGAGATTCTCGAATATGCAAGCTAGATGATCCGCGCATTTCTGATGATTTGAAAATACAGCGTGTTCAAAACGGTTGTAGAAGCACGTACGAGTACAATTATTTGGTCTGTACGAAAAATGCACGTGATACCAGGGCCATAGTAATCATGTCCTCAAAAATATGCAGGTCATTCGATGGTCATGCGCTGACCAGTGGGGATTCAGTACATTCGTCCACTAACCAAATATAGCCCTCAACCGCTACCCAGTACAGAAACGGCCTGCTACTTCTATCACATCAAGATCCCACAGAAACAAATTGAATACACCTGATTGCAGGCACTGAATCTACGCGGGACATATCGGGAACACGAGCGAAAACCGTACTGCCATGAATGCTTCTATCGCTTGTACAATGGCCTGATCTATGCTCCAGATGAGAAGCAGGCCAAAATCGAAAAACTCATCTAGTTGACCGCCTTTCAAATTTATGTAAATTTAAAGTTGTCACAGTGCTTTCAATTCTTTAATCTGCCGCCAGACTGGGGAATGAACTTCTTCTGCAAACCTGCGCAATAGCTGCTGCTATTAGAGTAGGTTTTTTTTACTTTGATGGAAGCTGAACTAAAACGTAGGGTCGCGAGAATGGGGCGAAAATTTGGATAAGAGGAGGCAATCCTGACAGAAAATAATAGAAATGCACCAACAAACTGACCAGTTTTTCTGACACCCTCAGAAAGCTCGATATTTCAAATTGTAATTCAAGAATTTCGGGATCACAAATCTGATCGAAGCAATAGAACAGTATGGCTATTTTTCATCTCAAACTTGATGTTGTAGACAACCAACCTAAAACTGCGCGCGTAACTGTTGTATTATTTGGATGAATCTGTAGTAACAATGATAATAACCAATGTGAGTGAAGATAGACAAAAAAGAAACATTATTCTGTGATAAACTCACTAATTATTGATATCCGCAAGGCAGTACGGGCGATCTCCGAAGAGGTGGCATACATGCACCGAACAGACAATGGGTACTAACTGGAGGTGTGCAGCGTAAGTCCGAAGAGTCTGCTGGCAAAGTTAAACCCAACGTGCGGGAGCATTCCAGTAACATCACTAACATGGGATAACCACACGGATTGCCAAAGCGGCCTTGAAATTTCTTAATATTGCTAAATAACTACACCAGATGGTGTTGAAGTCGCAATGGGATAAGAGGATTTTCTTCGCGCCATAGTGTTCAGATCATATGTTTGGATGACATTCACGCTGATACAATTTTTATTTATTACACACAACACGGGCTACCGGAAAAACATGCTGCGGTCAAAACAAAGCTGGTTAAAACATTAAAGTAACACTGGTAATATCAAAAAACCGGATTAATAGTAAAAATACCGGATTAATAGTAAATAATTAAAAATAAGTAACTGATTAGAACTGGGCGATAAAAAAGCACCGGTGAAGTGTTACTGGAATATGACACAAATGCAGGAGGACAGAGAATTATACGTAAGAAAAAAAGCCTATTTTTCAAATATGAAATAGTAAAATTTACTTCAACAATGATATAACTAAACAAGTGGTGAATTCTACTTGTTTGAAAAATAAACTACTTTGAAAAGTCTGACAAAAATATGCTATCTTAAGAAAATTATATGTTTCTTTTTATCGTAATCAAACAGCCTCTCCAAGCGATTAGGCAGGAGATGGAGGAACATACGACTTTATCTACCGTAGTTCGAGGAATTTCACGAAGCACTTCAAGTTTCTTACACTATGAGCAAAAACATTGAAAAATCGGCAGCGAATAAACCCGTCCAAATGACGGAGGGAACGTGATATAACTCCCCTTCACAAAAATTACGAAATGAAGCAGAACATATATGCCAGAAGGAAGTATATGCATTGAGTAGTTGATATAACAAAATAACGTTTTTACAACAAAGTTTTATGTAAAGCCAAAAAATGAAACAGATGGCCAAAAACTGGTTATGAAGAGAAATGAATTGTTAAAAGTTGTTTAGGTAACAAAAGGAACCGGGCAAAAAGGTTACCAAACTGAAAGTCCAATGCAAATCTCTAGTAAAAATAACATGCCCATCGTACAGTACTGCCAGTGAATTAACAAAACTTTAAGAAATTCTAGCCTAGAACAACTCTCGTACATATGGAGGGAGATTTTACTTAAATTTAGGAACAAGTTTAGACTTCGAACTCAAATTTAAAAAATCAGAACCATAAAAATTAGTAGACAGAAACGGACAACGATGCTGAGCGCTACGTCAGGCCCTTCAATTCGGAACTGTACTTCCAGCTAGTGACCACCGAATGTTTGGTGAATATGCGTCACATTTCTGGCAATCGCATGCTTCCTTGTGGGTACCACCCGTTAATACTTGATGTCCATCCGTTGCCGGCAAGAAAAACAGCAGGATTTCGTGCACGCAATAAAGCCTTGCGCGTTGTTCCCTTAACGGAGAGCCTGATATTATTACGGTCGCGCAGAGATACGCAAAACATCCTTCGCTCCATCGCTTCCTCTTCAGCTTTCCTCAGTGACCACGTTTCGCATTCGTATGTCATTGCGTTTAGCGCGGTGATATTGAAAATATGAACACGTATGATCCTTCTGGCTCAGCACACTGAAGACGATGGCAATGCTCTATAATTTGTACCACACGAAATCCTCGGCTGGAGAATGTGGCGCTTATTTACTTTTTATCCGAGACAGA